GAAGCTTTAGGTCTCTCAGGATTAGTGGACACAATCTGAAGCTCATTCACTCGTGATCGGAAACGCAGCCGTAAAATCTGTCTGTTCAACCTTTTTAACTTGTAAACATTTCACTTCAAAACCAGAGAATCACCCAGAAGTGATGTAAGTCTGTTACACAACGCTCTAATCCTTCTACTGTGGATTAAAGTCAATAGTAAAATACTCTAGGATTGTTATGGATTGGGGATCGATTGACGTGAAATTCACTGAGCGTGACCCTTCACCTCCATGGTGTGCGTCTTCCCAGATGACGTCTGTCCGTAGGCAAAGATGGTCCCGTTGTAGCCGCCCAACACATCTGGAAACAACCAGATTAATTTATAATAAGTGAAATGACCAAAGCTGGGTCCTGAACATTTTCCAAATGGGGCCAAATCTCCTGCTCCTGAAGTACGCGTGCCAAACACTAACAGAGCCATCAAGATAATGACAGAAAATAATTATAAAGATGAACGACATAGAATAACCACTTCACCATGCAAACCGACCCCCAAAACCAAAAGTGAACCTCTCACCTTTGACGATCTGTTTGGCACACTGATCGTAAACTTGTTCCTGTGACGTGTTTGGAGGCAGAACTTGGTCGAACACATATGGTTTCCCCTGTTCATCACAAAAAAATAAATTAAATCAACAGCTAATGTCAGTTTCACCTCTAAGTTTGTCAAATTTCTCTGCTTTAAAGTAGAAATCCAGGATATTTCTCAGAGGGCTCCATCTAGAGGCAGAAAAGGTGTATTGCACCTTAAGCCACTCTCCCTACTTCCATGATTATGGAACGCCTCTCATTCGTCAACAGGCAGCTCTGGCCAGCCAACAAGGCAGATATGGCGTCTTCGTTGTCTTCCTCCGCTTATCCGGGTCCGGGTCGCGGGGGCAGCATCCCAACCGGGGAGCTCCAGACCGTCCTCTCCCCGGCCACCTCCACCAGCTCCTCCGGCAGGACCCCAAGGTGTTCCCGGACCAGATTGGAGATGAAACCTCTCCAACGTGTCCTGGGTCGACCCGGGGGCCTCCTGCCGGCAGGACATGACCGAAACACCTCCCCAGGGAGGCGTCCAGGAGGCATCCTGACCAGATGCCCAAACCACCTCAACTGACTCCTTTCGATCCGGAGGAGCAGCTCCTCACCCTATCTCTAAGGCTGAGCCCGGCCACCCTACGGAGGAAACTCATTTCGGCCGCTTGTATCCGCGATCTCGTTCTTTCGGTCATTACCCAAAGCTCATGACCATAGGTGAGGATTGGGACGTAGATCGACCGGTAAATCGAGAGCCTGGCTTTCTGGCTCAGCTCCCTCTTCACCACGACAGATCGGCTCAGCGTCCGCATCTCTGCAGACGCCGAACCAATCCGCCTGTCGATCTCCCGATCCCTCCTACCCTCACTCGTGAACAAGACCCCGAGGTACTTAAACTCCTCCAGATAGCAAGATTAGCTATTTAAAACGGGCGTGTTGCTGACATTACATCACAGGAAAACAATCACTTTTACAGATTTCTACGAAAAAAAAATCCTTACAGGGAAACTCTGGATGGCTGTTGTAAAACCAGCTAATTCTTGTTAAGTAGAACCTAAACACCAACTTTTCCACGTCAAAGACAGTTAATGTAACTAAAATAAAGCACAAAAGCAAACAGATGCTTTCAGATGAAATACACAAACAGGAAGTAGTTTTAAATCCATGTAGTGAGGTTATCCCTCACTCCTTCATGCCTTTTCCACCTCCTGAATCCTCTCAGGGGACAACTCTCATTTGTGTAAGCAGCTCTCTCAGCATTTACAGGAAGCTGCAGCAGTACTCCAGTCCGTTTCTGAGCCTTCAAATAAAACAAACCGAGTGTGTGTGCTGCTGCAGGAATAAACGGCACACCTAGTCAGGTTTGTTTCGGGGAAATAAGAGCAAAAAATTCAACCAAATGAAAAGAAAATGCTTTTTCTCTTTAAAATTTAGTATTTTATCCTCATTTGCTACTTCTGATTGATCTTTACATGCAGTAAATATATATATTTCCATTAAACTTTTTATGGGAATTTTAAAACAAGTTTAAATGGTTTAATACATTTCACAGATCTTTAACAACTGGTGCAATAATGTCTTTTCATAAAACTGAGTGTTTTGCAGGTTTATAAATTGGAATATATCCCGTTTCCTGCAGTTGCAGCTCATTATTGCGCACTTGTCCTGCAGATCTCCATCAGGTGACTTTCCTGCAGCTTTTCTTCCCACCACGCTTACCGTGATCACCACCGTGTCGTCCTCTTTAAATTTAGGGATGTATTGGTCTCCTCTGTTGACTTCGGCCTCGTTCAGAGGCCTGAAGCGGCACATCACCTTCACTCCGCACTCTGCCGCATCCACCATGACTGTTGCAGCCTCTGGTTCTCTTCGCGCCTGCAAATAAAAACCAGTAACCCCCCTAAACTGAGTCACGTCGCGAGGGGGTACCCCGGTGGTTCCGGAGGAATCTCCCGGACCGATTCACTGCTCAGGTCCGATGTTCGAATCTTCAACGTGACCAAGTTTCAGCTTAGATCGGATCTGTCCTTCCTTCATCCCAGCTTTGAATCAGCGGGATTTCGCGTCTGCGCCATGACGGGACGAGCCGCAGCGCTGCGCCCGGTCCGGGTTCGACTCTCCGGTTCTGAGCTGGGAGGGGGAGTAGATGTGCAGAGAGAGGAGTGGGGGGTACGGTAGTCGGGGGAGGATGAGCTGGCACGGCCGCATCGTCCTGATGAGGGCGCGCTCTCGAATGGTGCCGTGGCGCGCACCTGAGCCCGCATCAGCACCACATCCGTGATGCGCGCACGTAACCGGACACGTGCACTTACATATATTCATTATTTTCCCACTTTAATTCATTAAAAATCTATTCTGCTGTAATTTCAGAAGTGTCATTTACATCGTGGTGCGTTCACTGTCCCTCGAAAAAAAAACTGATTTAAACAGAACGTTCTAATTCAAGCTAAACAAGTTTATACAAAATACTTATCCTTCTGATTAATAATTTAATTACATTAAACCGTTACTATCTGAATTAATTAAAACAATATTTATGGTTCATCATCCTTGGGCAACATCTGATGTCAGTCCACTAGAAAACATGTAGAATAGAATAGAATGCCTTTATTGTCACTATACAGGTGTAAAGTGAGATAAAGAGCATCTCCTACTCAGTGTAAAACCAACATACTGGGGGGGGGGGGGGGGGGGGACAGTTCTGCAGCGCTATGTTCATATGGACAGTAATGTTATGTATATACAATTATTGCACATGGAATTTGGTATCAACAGATAATGGAGGAAAAGGGGAAGTGTGTGTGTGTGTGTGGGGGGGGGGTGTTATCGGTGCATGTGTGAGTTCAGGGTGGTTATTGCTTTGGGGAAGAAACTGTTTTTGAGTCTGTAAACAAGAAATGTAAACAAGAATCTGCTAAAAAACGGTATTCACAAATGTTATGTTTATTTGAAAGCTTTTATATTAATAAAAATATATTAACTTATTACAAATATATATATCTAAGTTGCATTTCACATTTAAGCCGCTAGAGGGCAGCGTAAAACTACAAACACGTTTCTTTTAAATGGTAAATGGCCTGTATTTGATATAGCGCCTTCTAGAGTCCTGGAACCCCCCCAAGGCGCTTTACAACACAATCAGTCATTCACCCATTCACACACACATTCACACACTGGTGGGGATGAGCTACGATGTAGCCACAGCTGCCCTGGGGCGCACTGACAGAGGCGAGGCTGCCGAGCACTGGCGCCACCGGTCCCTCCGACCACCACCAGCAGGCAACGTGGGTTAAGTGTCTTGCCCAAGGACACAGCGACAGACTGATCGGGGCTCGAACCTGCAACCTTCCGATTACGGGGCGAGCACTTAACTCCTGTGCCACCGTCGCCCCAATCTTTTAAATATGTTTTATTCAAATAATATCAACAATGTTTTAAAACAAATGTAAAGATTAAAAACCACACGATTCGAGTAAGAGTGAACATGGTTTTAATATCTTAAACATCTGTGCAACATTATTCAAAATGTTACATCACTGCATGACCTGTAATGTTTCACAATATTTACAAAAAAAATGTTGCTTACATCAAACCATTAAAAAATAAAGTCCAAACAATCTGAAAACAATGGACTCAGACACGATATCCCTAACCCACATGAGGGGAAAACAAACGAGAGCAATCAAGTGCACGGCGTACGTCACACAGGTCTGTTTCTTTTCATTAAGTATATATAGTGAGGAAATATATACTTAAATCACACGCTGGAGAAATAAAATACTGAGTGACAGAGGTGGAGAGAGAGAGAGTCACACTTACACCTGGACAATCAGGCAGAAAGAAGAGATGAAAAAATATTCAACGCTTCAAACTTTTGACCACGAACAACGGATCCAAGACACGTGGCGTCCCGACACCTGCAGGTCGTCGCACCAAGTAAGCAGGTAAAAAATAAAATCAACAGGCGAGGCAGAATGAACTTTACCGAAAGAGTTCATACGTTCTCTAAGTTGCAACTGTTCAGTGCAAAGTGAGGAAAAACAAGACATCTGGATAAACGGGTTTGAGCTTTTCTGCGGAGTTCGTCAGAAAATTAAGTACGAGATTTCTCCTCAGACGCAAAGAAGCGGTGGAACATCTGACACGGAACCAGGCAGACGGGCCTGAACGCTCGCCGTGGCGTTCAAATAAAAGGGATTTTGCTGGCTTTGAGGTTATAAAGTCGTTTGCACATTAATATTTATATTAATTCAGTTCTTAGCAAAGAAATCAAAGTGAGTTTGCGTTTTTTAGGATGTTGTTAAGTGTTATGTTCTGATGTTGTGTGTTTATGTGTATATGTGAGGTTTGTTCTTTTTATGGGCATGGAAAAACGGAAGTGAAGTGTGTGTGTGTAACCTTTGACCTGCGACATTAGTAAATAAAAGCGAGCTCCTGGCGAAAGATGGGTGTGTGAGCGGTACGCGGATGTAATGGACTGGCCGTCTGACGCTGAGCTCTAAAACGGCGAATCTTTGAGTCCGTGTGAGTTTCATGAGTTAACCTCCATAGCTGCAACACTTCCACTTCCGCGGTGTTAAAACGACATCGGCTAACAGATGTTTAATAACATTTTGTTTCTTCTAATCAGGAGTTTTATATTTCAATAGAAGAAAATGCGAGACGCACAAACGGACCCGCCGCTACAGAACCATCACAAATAATTCTGACAACGTAAGTGTGGTTAACTTGAGATTTCAGATCCTGGAAAAAAACGTTGTCCAGACAGGAGCTTTCTGTAGCGGTGGAGTGAATTAAGCGCTTAAACGTGTCGAGTTCAAGGACCGGAGAAAATAAATCGGATTTGTGAGTTTCAGATTCCGACCAGCTGATCTCTCTAGGAAAAAAAGGACGATCTGAGCACAAGAAAGGAAACGAGACATGACGCTTTGAAGCGGTTGATCTTTCTTTGATTATTGCACTTGAGAATTCCGTAGTGATTCCAGGTGGTTTTGTTCCAAAGTTTCCGATACGTTCTGATATCTTTTAGAGTTAAAACTGCATTCGTCACCTCCACACATCATCAGCGGTGCATATGCATAAAACACACCCGAAAAATCTCCTATGACACCATCTGTAACAAAAGCAGGAGATCAAAGAGCCTCGTTGTTTAAAAAACAACAACAATCATCTGTAATTCTTAAATAAAACAAATACGAGTTTGTGACGAACTCTGAATACACGATGGATTCAGAACAAAAACATACACACACATATAAGGCTTTAGTTCTCAACTCTTGGTAGTATTATTGCCATCTAGCATATTTGTAAAGCTTAAAATAAATATGGAGTACTGTACATAAATAATTTACATCAACAAACAAAACAAAAACAAAAGAAAAAAAGGCCTCAAAATGCAAGAAATGCTTTCATCAAGTTAGTGTTTTCTGATCTGGACTCTGAGGTTGGCTAGTCGACCCCAACAGGAAGAGAGGAGGACGAACCCGCCCCTACGTCTGGTTTCAGAGTTAAACCACCCATCTAGTCGGGCTTGTGCTGATAAACAGACTCTTACAGGCTGTAAACATAAATATAAATAAACCTACAGGTGGATTTCTCCTCCCCACTTCCTGCCGGCGGAGGACGACGGCGGCTAAAACGGGAACACGCTGAACACTTTCTGTTGGTAAAGTTCATTCTGGGGTTTGTTTTCTTTTTTTTTTGTCCCCGGCAGAAACAAACAAACACTCGGCTGGCGTGAAGTGAACGTGGTGACGCGAGTTGTGAAATACTTATCATGGCTGTTCCACGCCCGCTCCGCTAGAAAACAAACAGAAACCAGCACGACGTCGTATAAAAGCTTTAGGCTGAATTATTCGTCTACGCGCGCGGCGGCCGCTCCGCTGAGCAGAAACCCGCGCGTCGGCACGCTTCTACCGCTTCGTTTTTGTACAATAAAAGATAAAATGTGCATTAAGTACGCTTGTACATGACATTGTACAATATTTACATACAATTCTTAATAGCATGAAATTTCAGGATTACCTATATACATACTGAAAATGTATCAGAAATATTTGGACTGTCTATTCTTAAATATGTAAGGTAACGCTTGTAGCTTTTTTTGTTTATTTTACTATCTTATACTAGAAAAAAATAGTTAATTCAGTGAGCTGTAGACAAATTGCAACCGTTTCTTTTGTTTTGTGTACTTTCCTGGTGTTTCAGTTTGTCCTACAGTTAAAACTGTGACGGCGATTAGAGTTTCCAGCACCTTCCACGGTCAGAGTCAGTTGGTATCGCGGGACAGCGGAGTACCGCTGACAGTCCTTGTGTAGCACCTGTTTGAGAGCTCAGAACTCTTCAAGTCCCCCCCCCCCGCGGCTTTGAGGACGCTCTTGGGCCGACACATTCAATGTTATCTGGATATCTTCCTCCTCTTGGGCTTCGGGAGCATCAGCTGGCGGTCCCTCGATGGGAGCTGCAGACACACAAACGGGCGTGAGGACGTGCGGCCGAGCGGACGCTAGCGCGCGCCGTCGCGTGTACTCACCGCGCCAGACATTTTGTCCAGCTCGCTCATGGCCTCGTGGAGAGCAGCTTTCAGAGGGTTGTTGTTCAGTTTCCCCTGTCTGTTGGACAACAAGTTCAGCGTTCTCGTTAATCTGAAACTCATTAAGGGTATTTAATCTCAGGACCAGGGGCTCGTTACTTACATCAGGCCTCTTTTGGCGGCTCGGTCCAAAGCCTCCAAGTCATGCGTTAGCGTTTTTAGTTTTTCGGGCTCCACCTGCAGGATATTTGGACCAATGTTAGTATGTTGGTGAAGGCTCTCAGTTTTCCAGGTCATGGTAATCCAAAGGGGTTTGAATGAAGGCCACTGGACTTCTTTGGTTTCGAACCCCTGTGGATGGCCAATGTTAAAAAAAATCACAAATGAAAGCATTCTAGCACTGATAAGAGACGTTTATGCTAACTCTGACTGGTCCAGCAGCCAGTTCCTACCGGGTCTGATGGTAACGGCAGATGGGAGTCTCACCTGGGCCGGCTCTCTTAGCTGAACAGCAGCACAGTGCACCTGCTCGTCCCCGGCCAGCTTGGCGGGCCAGGGTGGGAAGCCCTTGAGCTGGCCCCAGACCAGCTCTCCCATATTGAAGGTCCTGGAACGGTAGTGGAGCAGCTCTGATGAGGGGGAGTCCGGCTGCCGCAGGTCTTCCTCGCTGCTCAGGCTCTTCGTGTCCGAGGGGCTGGGAGCCATGCCGTTGAAGTGACCGTTGTAGTGGCTGTAGTCTTTGGGGGTGGCCAGGGGCCCTTCCAGGCTGGTGGAGGAGCTGGGTGACTGGTCGTCCCCCGTCAGCTCCTGCCGCGGGGGGCCCAGGACTTCTCCATAACCACGGCTGTTAAAGTGGGGGTTGGCACCATTTATGTGGGCACAACGTTCCACTGTCTGCTCCAGACGTTCCTTGTAGTTGGCAGGTTTACGGCTGCAGTTGTTGAACCGGTAAGCATCATCCAGGAAGGTTTTATCATGGACCATGGCCAGACTGTGGTTGTTGGAACCATCAGTGGGGCACGGTGGGGCGGGGGCCAGGCTGGCAGGTCTTTCCATGCAGGGACTACTTCTTACCTGGGTAGAGCACTCGAGAAACTCCTCTCCACCCCAGCTGTTGTTGTTTTGAGAGTCAAAGCCTCCTCCGTGCTGCACCTCCCCATCCCACTGCCCTCTGGGAGTTCCTCGACCTGGAGAGCGGAAGTAGTCGTTCTCAGGGCCATCTGGGGTGCTCTTCCCCGCGTCCAGGTTCTTACTTCCCCGTCCTGGTCTCACCTGTCTTGGTCTGGCCTCTCCGTCTTGGTGTCCATACAGGACCGTGCTGACAGCCTGGGGGAGATTGACTGGTTCTCCCAGGGAGGCGGTGAAGGCACTCATGGCACTGAGGGCAGGTACCGGACTCGCCTGTGTGGTCCCGCTCACGGTGGTAGTGATGGTAACATGCATGCCCTTACTGGCGGCGTCCACCACAGCTCTGTAGATGGCGTCCACCACCTCTGGTCCCCCACCGGGACCCCGGTCAGGGCCGGGTGTGCCTGCTCGAAGCCCCTCGCTTTGGGGCTGCTGCTCCTCCCCAAACTGCGGGTGTGACAACATCCCCTGCTGTTGACAAAAAACCAACATGAGCCCTTGTTATTCTAAACAGAGTCAGAAGAGCCTCAGATAAACTACCTGGTAGTTCTGGTAAAGGCAGGCCATGGAGCCGGTGGTGCCGCCGTCTTTGTAGGGTGGGTTTTCAGAGAAGTGCTGCCCCTGGTAGCTTGGGTGTGAGGAAACCCCCTGCTGCATGGCCTGGTGGACCTGCTGTTGGTAAATGTGAGCTCCGCTGGCATTGACGTGTGGCTGCATTGTGCCCAATCCACAGCCTGAAAGAGTAAACATTGTCATTTTATCCTCATGACAGTAAAAACAAGCATGACTCCTATTTCTATCTCTTCTATTCAACATAGTAAAAGTTTGAACCATCCAAAAAGCCCTGTTTAGTGTTTCAAGTTTCACGAAAGAGTCTCGAACTACGGCTCTAATTAAGGACAGGAGGGGATTCCATCCAGCCTAGAAATCTAGAAAACGTAGCAGTAGCAAAAGATTTTGGTCTACAGGTTGGTCTAGCCACACTCTACTGTAGCCTCAGCAGGCCTACCATTGGCTCAGCTAAGTTCAGACCCAGCCAATCACAGTGTTCTATATTTGTAGAGAGAAGTTGGGACAGGCTTAGCATCATCATGGCAGAGCTTGGGTTTTTTTCCTACGATGACGCCATTGGCCCAGCAATGGCACTCATTTGGAACGGCTTTGGCATCAACGTTTCATGATGTAGACTTGGACTCTTTGGGAAACAAGCAGATAAAGGTACTTCTTCTTCTACAGTGTTTGGCGGACTGCCTTGTAGACCGATTCCCGTAGCAATGAACGAGTCAGGTATTTTTTGTTGCCGATTGGTCCTAGCGCTGTCTAACTGTGTGCAGACAGTCTGAAAGACCACCATAGATCCCACCCCCATGATTGACCTCCGTCTAACGCCGGGGACACACCGGCCGCGGAAGCGCCGTGAAGCGCCGAGAAGCGAATCGCTCACGAAATTCGGCCGCTGCTCGCCGCTGCTCAGTTCAGACCAGACGCGCCCCAGTCAAGGCGCGCCTCGACTCAGCTGTAGTTTTTCTTTTAAACACCTGGGTGTCCTCCATTTCCTCTCTGCCTTTTCTCAGCTCTTTTCCTCTACGTTTGAGTGTTTGTACGCGTGTGTGTGTGTGTGTGTGTGTGTGTGTGAGTGAACCTATGGTATGAGTTGTTTCAGTTGAATCTCTTGGAACCCGCTCCAATTCTGCAGCTGCATCCTAGCAGTTTCTTCTGAAATGGGTAGGTAAATAATCACGTTTTTCGGGGGTCGTACAGCTCCTTGTGTTTCTCAACTTCCATAATTCATTTAAAGTCATCCATCTTAACTGCTTGCCTCAGACTTTCTGCCTCTCTGTCCTGTTTGCTCCGGTGAAAAGACACCCAAAACCACACACCCCTTCACGTGGTCACACACGCACACAAGTTCGATGTGTGTGTCTGTGTGTGCGTGTTCATGTGGTTTTTCTGCAGTGTCTGTTTACGAACACATTTGACTATTGCGGAATTTTATTTTGAAATGCTTTATTTTGTTAACTTTACCGGCCTGCCTCTTATGTCTACGTTTGACTTCCTGCCAGAATTGACGCAATTCACCCGCGGCTCGCGAAAAAAATAGAGCCAACGCCGAAATGATCGCTGCACGGCGCGGGCTGGAGCGCCGGCGCGAGGCGATTCGCGGCGCTTCGGCGGCCCATGTGGTCTATAGAATAGCTTAACAAGGGCGCCGAATGAAGGCGGTCCCATTTTCGCGGCGCTTCCGCGGCCGGTGTGTCCCCGGCGTAAGGGCTGTGACCAAACCATATACTTACATATATAGGATGGCTTGCCAGGCTAGAATCCACCAGCACCTGGTAGCAACATGCTAACACATCCAATTGGTGGTGGTAATTTGTCAGAATTCTTGAAGGACTTTCAACTAGTGTGAAAAATTTTCACACTAGTTGAAAGTCCTTCAAGTTCTTTCGTTTCTGCCATCACAGCTTTATTTTGATAAGATTATTAAAAGGAAGCTACAGCCATGGATGAGCTACATCGATATAATGAATCGATTAGGATAAAGGTGGAAAGTACAAAAACAAACTTGTACAAAATCTGTTCCATCCGAGTGTTCTTTCCTGGAAAAGACTCAAGTCTCACAATCATAACGACTAGGACCTACGATGAATGACAAATGATAAATGACCCGCACTTGTACAACGCCTCTCAGAGTAAGGACACCAAAGCGCTTTACACTACAGTGTATCATTCATCCATTCACACACACATTCACACACTGATGGTGATGAGCTACTATGTAGCCACAGCTGCCCTGGGGCACACTGATAGTGCTGCCGAGCTCCCCTCCGACCACCACCAGCAGACAAGGTGGGTTAAGTGTCTTGCCCAAGGACACAACAGCAGAACTCTCTGTCCGGAGCCGGGATCGAACCTGCAACCTTCCGATTACTGGACAACCCGCTCAGCCTGTTGAGCTACTGCTGCCCGAGGTAGGTTCATTGTGTATTGTGCTAACATTTACAAAATGCATTAGAAGTAAAGGGCAAAGCAAACCCAAACCCAAACCGTGGTTTGCCACGGGATTTGTAAATGGCGCATAACTTAATAAATGCATTTTTCCTGCAAGCTTTAAAGTACATCATAAAAAATAGAGGAGCAACACAACATTACAGTTCTGAAACGCATCCAAAGCGTAACAGTTATGTGTATGGTGGACACGCACCCATCCACTATTAACAGCGGCTAATTGCTACATACTAGGCCACTTGGACGTCACGTGACGTTGGCGCGTCTGGTGCAAAGGCTGGGTAAACTTCAAAAAGTTTTCTGCTTGTACATTTGAAAATAAACTGGACTTGAATCTCTTTCTGTAGCACCAACCCCTAGAATGCAGAATTTATTTTCTGGGTCTGATCTATTGATCTGGGTCTAAGGTCTCTCAGTAAGCAATGAGGATGGATACCGGATGCTTTCTAAGACATCGACCAAATTAAATGGTACCTACCAAAGACAGATTCACGTGATATGAAACGGTGCTTTGTTTCGGTACCCGTCCTTCATTAACAAGAACTCGCGAGACAGCGATTTGCCAATATAGACAGCAGCACATGCACAAGTGCATAATGTCGTCAGCCACCGCGGTCGAGCCGTAAACAGAGAAAGCAGCACGGCAAAGAGAAACCCTCTAAAGCAGGGGTATCAAATATGCGGCCCACGGGCCGGATCCGGCCCGCAAGTGGGTTAAATCCGGCCCGTGAGATGGTTGTGTAAACTTTATTTTCATACTTTACAATGTAGAGTGAAAATAAACGTATCTTTGTGAGCAAGTTTTCTCTGTAATGAGTATGAATAAAACAAAGCTGCGCTCAAGGCTCACACAAGAACTTGAATCACATCCTGAAGTTGGCCGCCACTCAGGATGTGACTCCTGATGTTGATGTGCTGGTGAAAGCTAAAAGATGTTAAGTAAAATGAGTCAAATATACTTTAAGTGCTGCATGAAACTGATCTTGCCATGTGATCTGTAAGCTCTTTGAATCACTAAGGAATGTTTTTTTATTTATTGATATTTTTTTTTTTTTCAAATTTTCAAGTACACTTCAGGTGTTGTACTTGTACTACACTGTCCTCAGGCTCCAGCCTTGTTTTATATTGATTGTATTAAAACAAAGAAAACGATCTGAAGTTTTTTTTTATTTACCGGTCCGGCCCACTTGGGACTAGATTTCCCTCAATGTGGCCCCTGAGCTAAAATGAGTTTGACACCGCTGCTCTAAAGTTTGTGTCCGCTCTGGGTGATGACGACAAAATTGACAACGAACTAAATGAAGTATCATCTTAATCTACTCCAGCAGGTAAATAAACTCCTTAAGATAACGTTAGCTTCATATTTTATCTTCTAATGCTATCAGCTAATGATGCGTTTGCTTTCTCCTCAGTACTCGGATATTCTGACTTTTGAATAAGAAAAATCAACCGTTTGACAAACGGCAAAAGGAATGAAGATGCACAGTAAATTTAATTCACACCAAAAATGCCTGCTTCTGTTTAATTTGCAGTTGTTAACACTACAAGGACCGACCCATCACACAGTTTGTCCAGGGGTGAAAGGAGAGTAACAGGAGTACCATGGAGCTGGGTTTAGTTTGTGAAACACCACAATGTTAAAGTACAGTTATATGGTACCTATTTCGCTCTAGTTTCATTTGTAGTTTATAATACATGGTCTCTACATCAGAGTTAATCCAGAAGGCGTAGAAGAGGAATATGAGTACATGGAACTGGGCTTTAATTTTTGCGTCACTTAGACACAGTCGTGGTTAAAGGTTTTCACATAGAAGAGTTTAGAACACCATGATGACAAAATACAAACAGTTGTATGTTATTTATCATGATATTTACCTAATATGGTTATATATATGGAAAAATATATACCGGTATATATGAATAATTTAAAAAAATGTAATTAATTATTAAAGACTCAAAGGTACTGAAAATTGGTACCGTTAAGTACCAGTATCGATTCCTAGGTACCGGGAATTGGTACAGAATCGATTCAAATGTCAAAGGTACCCATCCCTAGCAAGCGGACATCTCCGGAACCACAGGAGACATTTTAGTAAACTCCAAGGACGGATAAATCTACGATCAATTCACGTTTGGAACGCAAATCAAGATGGTTGTCACTGCAAACACAAAGGCTACAGCTCAGCCAGTTTTGCACCGACTGAGCAAAAACCTAACGTGTTGGTAGCTGATACATGACACAATCCAAGAGCTGACAGATTACAGGAGATTTTATTGTTTATTTTCATGATTTGACCAAAGCAGCTAAAACTCCATCTCAGAATAAAATCGTCTTAGTTTAACAACATTTGCGGTTCCATTCATCTTTCATTCATTTAAATCACTGACAAAACAAACTGATTTATTAATTGAATTTCCACACAGCAGCTCAGTGGGATTTGTACCCTTTAAAATCTGCAAAAACCAACAGGAAATCAATCCCAAAAGCTGCAGAAAAACATGTTTCCGAGTCGAGACTCAGAATAAAAGAAAAAGTTGCACATTAACAATCTGTTGCAGCTGAAACCAACAGATGGACGAGCTGCCAGATGAACATTACGGCCAGACTTGTTAGCAAAGCGTCCAAGGACAGAAGATGAATAAAATACATCAAGGCCACAGATGTATCAATGAAAGGAGCGCTGGCCCGGCCGCGGAGCCACTCAAACAAAGGCGAGGAAAACAC